TATATATAAAATATCTTTTAAAATGTTAATTAAATTTTATGAGAAATGTGTTATAGTAACATTTTAAAAATATAAAAAACAATATTTAGTAAATAAAGGAATTATTAACGCAATACGCGTGTCGTATAGCAGTAAATAAAGGAATTATTTATCTTGTATATAAATTTCGTCATAAGAATTATATAAAGTTAGCCAAGTAGTTATTATATACATATATTTATAATATAATTGCATGGTCTGTTTTTATAGTTGAACTAGTTGCACTAGAATTTATCTTTTTCTCCTTCCAATTTGTTAAAGATTGATTGTAACATACAGTATCGAAAGAAAATGTTCACCTATTCAATTATTGACGAAAAAACTACAGAAAATTATTAAGAATTAATAATAACATAAAGCTCAATTAGAAAATGAAGTTCTCGTCCGATCATTAAACTTAAGCAATGTTTGAGCATGATCAATATTTATTGTAGATGGATGACCGCTTGGGAGCATTATTATTATGTATAATAATATATAACTATATATATTTATATATAATCATATATATTTATATATAATCATATATATTTATATATAATTATATATATTTATATATAATCATATATATTTATATATAATTATATATATATATATATATATATATATATATATATATATGAGCATATTTCATATACATTTATATATAAAGTCTTATATATATTTATATATGATTATATATATATATATACTTTTTTCTCAGGATTTTACAGATTAAGGTAGAATACAATAAATATAAAAAAATATAAAATTAAAAACATTTATAAAATTCTATTATAAACAAGAAAATACAGCATTAAATGTATACTGTTATTTTTTTATAATTGAAACCGAATTATACTTATTTAAAGTTATATAAAATATATACAAAACTATACCTATAACAAGTTCTATTTTGCAATTAGTCGTAAAATGTTCTTTTTTTAATAATGACTATTGAATTAATTTTAGAATCATGATTTTTTTAATAAATTACATTTTAATATAATTGCAGAATTTTCTTAAAATAATTTGTATAATTATTAATTGTTTAGTTAGAAAAAACATGGTTTAAATAAAAATTTGCCAATGACTCTTACGTATAGTGAATTCTAAATAGTTTTATTCCATATATAAATGGATAAGAGTTACATATTTGATATTGGAATTCGCAAAATTTATTCTTTATTTTATAAAAGACAAGTTTGCAATGCTTTTAACTATTCCCAATAAATTTGCTGATTTTTAGTAAAATTATCTGTTTTTCTTTGCATATATCTATCATGTATCTTATTAATGTAGATGTCTTAATAAAATGTTTGTATATTTAGTAATGTATATTTAGTAAAATTTATATTTAATAAATAATATTCATATATGTATATGTGTATTTTATAATATGAAATAATATTGAAAAAATACATCAAATTTTTTTAAATTTGAGGATTATTATTTTTAAAACTCACATCTAAATATAAAAATAAAATCGCTAATAATGTTTGAATATGATAAAAATTTAGATTTAATTTACAAAGTTGAAAATTTATGAGTGAAAGAAATTAACTGATTTAAAAAATATTTTTTATATGCACGCACATATGCATAATATCTATTAATTTGATATTTATTTTTCGATTGTAAAGAGATAGCAATCACAAAAACAGTTTCTCTATAATTGTTATCAAAATAATCGCATAGCAAAAAATAAATATTTGTACATATATCAACTGTCTAATTTAGTTTTTAATCGATTGTTATGCTATCAAAATTAATTGAAATTATATTGAACAATTTTTTATTGTGTGTCTGACAAGTAATTTTTATTTTAAATAAATACGAGAATTTCATAAAATACATCAATGACGAATTTTAATTTTCTAATTAAACAAGTACAATAATTTTTGACACATTGCTTTATTTAAACTTTAAACTAAATATCTCAAAGTGTGTATGGACACAAGTGCACATATGCATTTCAAGCTATGCAAACATTTTTTCGCAGAAATTTAAAATTCGCGGAAATTTAAAATTCGCAGAAATTTAAAATTAGCAGAAATTGAAAATTTATTATATAATGCATAATTTCTGTTTTTTAAATTAATTTTTATTTATCTCGAATATATTACAAAAAATTTTTTTAACATTATTGCTTATTTCCAGTTGATTAATGATACGCAGCTTTCGCAATTAGATAATATTCGAAAGTCTTGAAATGCTGTCGTATATAGTAATTCGGAAAAATGTTATCTGAAAAGTTCTCTTATCAGAGTCCGTATCCAATATGTATAAAAAGAATTAATATAATCATAAGATATTTTATAATCATAATTTAATCTATATGTTAATCACTCATTGTCAGTAGAGAGTCATTCAGCATGTATAATCCGATAATGATCGCTTACCGAGACAAAATGATCGATAAAGCCCAGATTGCTCCTGATAGAGTTCCTTACCTAATAGCCATTAATCATTCATCACTCGTCAAGCATATTATACTGCGTAATAGTCGATATTTCTGATGGTATCAAAAGCGACATTGACTTGGCTGCGCATTCTTGCCTGCAATCTCAGCGGCTGCTTCGACTTTTTTTTAATCATAAATGAATAAATAATACAACAGAATTAGCAATACGAGATGAAAATGATATGAGCATGTATATAGAGAAAATTATTTATTTTAAAATTATATGTATATTATTTAACAAATAATTTAATTTTTATAAAATACCTTAGTTAAAAAGGTTATCAAGAGAAAATTTAAAAAATATATATTTAATTTTCAACATTTAAAGTGATTTTTTACAGAGACTTGGAATATAAAATTTTAAAAATTTAAATATTTTATCATCATTAATAAACGCTACTCTTGGAGTTAATAATTTTTTAAAAGTGTTTTTGATTAGAAATGGAATAATTTTGTTTAAGAAATTTTATATTTCTGATGACATTCTGATAAAGAGATGAAAAAACAGATCTTTTTTAAGCTCTTTCACAAAAGTTGAAAAATCGTCTAGACTATTTCTTTGTGAAATGATAAGACGAACTCACCAGTGTATTATATTTCTCCAAAGTTTGTTTCTTTTTCTCTCTTTAATATAAGTAAAATTTCAAACCAATATAATTATATTGCAAGGAATAAATTCAATAAAAATAATAATAACTTGACACACTAGCAACAATTTATTCAAAATAATCAAATTTTTTTTATTTTTTTTTTATCAAAAATTTGATTATTTTGAATAAATTGTTACCAGTGTGTCAAGTTATTATTTTTATGGAATTTATTCCTGACGATATAATTATATTAGTTTGATATTATACTTTGATTGGAATATGGATTTTTAACAACAAGGCTTTTACAATATGACAAATTTAAGCTTTGGAATTAAGAACACCTTATTACTTAATGGATCAAGTTAAAATAAAAAATCTGTTAATTTGTATCGTATAACACATTTTTTGACTTGTTCTTGATTGTGAGTTTCTTTTGGATAGAATTTTTGCTTAATAAGGACCACAAACTATGGTCGAAACGTCGCAAAAAAGTTATTATTATTTTTATTATAAAATTCTCATTAATTGAAAAAAATTAAACATAATAAAAATCTTGCTCTAGGATTAGAGATTTCCTTATACTATATTTGATAGCAATATTTAAATTCATGTTTAAATTTATAAGCAGAAATATTTTTCGAACGTCGACATTTTCCTCTTCTAATGTATGGAAAAATGTATGATCCATACATTTGGAAAAAAAAATGTTGAACTCGCGATCTTAAACTACGTTCACATAAATATCTTCTAATTGTTTGATCACTAATTCTGTGAGGAAGATCTTCATTAGCAATTTGTCGCGCAATCATCGTTGGTGCGCGTCGGGTGTCGCTAATGCTGGTGGTAAATGGAAAAAATGTATATGGGTAACTTTGATATGCCGTAACTCCGCGAAAAAAAATCGTACGAACATGCTTTTTTTTAATTTGTAGGAAAAAGTCCATATTTTACAAAAATTTGGATAAGATTTGCGAAAAAAATTTATTTCACCCCGTAAAGTTCGTCAAATTTTGCAAATTTTTGAAAAAAAAATACACCTCTTTTTAAAGGGATGGAAAGAGGGGGAGAGGATAAAATCCAAATGAAATGAAAGTTTTTTAAAGCAGAGACTTCACCCTTTAAAACAAAAAGAATTTGTTTTCAAATGCGATAATGTTTCGCGGAGATACGCTTATTTGAATTTACGCGGATATTAATTGCGTGTTGCGATAATTTTTTGACTATCAGTGTAGTATATGTCATATAAAATTAGTAATATGATAGTTATTTTGAAGAAATATTAAATTTTATCCGAGAGATAGCATAGAGATTGTGATTTTATGCAACAATATCCCCAGCAAACACCGATATAATTGTTACATTGCTATAATAAAACGGAATATAACAGGTAATATAACGTGTACGTTACATGTAACATCCATGTTAGTTGTAATTTCCCACTCATAGATGTAACATTTTAATATAACATATATTACATTGTAGTTATATTGTAATTATATACCAAATAGCACATTGATGTATTGATAAGTCAGTGCTATCTTGGGATATAATGACAATATAACTACAATGTAATATGTTATATTAAAAATGTTACATCTATATATGAGTGGGAAATTACAACTAACATATACGCTACATGTAACATGCTTAAGTATATAATATTTATATATTGTGTTTGCTGGGTCGCTTATTAAATAATTTCATAAACTTGAGAAAAATATATGCATGAAAAAATGATAAAGGATTAATTGTGAGCAAATAAAGAAACAAAAAGTAACTTTTGTTTTTCAATTATTTTTATACTCAATATTTTACATACACATACATAAAAAAATATCTTTTTAAAATCGTCTTTACAAGAAAAATATACAGTATAGAATAAACAATGAAAATTTTTTTAATATATAGAGAATAAATGTATACCTATGTATAAAAATATAATATGTAATCTTAGCAATGCTCTGATTTTATTGCTTAATCTTTTTTCCCTTTCTCTTTTAACAAACATACTTTAAAAAACAAGAACTTCAAAGAGAAATAAGTTGTAATTTGCACTTAGGCGTTAGTTTGCTATCAATCAGAGTTTTCTTGTTTGCCACAACATTTTTTACGCATCTGGAGTTAGACAACATAGCGCCCTCACTTTCGGAGCGCGCCAACTGGTAAACATTGTTCAGGCACTTGCTGGCTTGCAGGACAACATAATTGGATGTGGGCAGAGCGGTGTTAAATTCGATATATTTTGCGTCTTCTTCGAACCTTTTGACGACGTCGTTGATTCTTCCTAATTCGTTAAGAATGCAGCTATACATTTTAGTGTCATCATTGTCAAAGCAGTTTACAACGACTTCCTTCAATTCCTGTATTAATGATTCGCCGAACTGTTAAGGAAAATTATTACAATTAGAGAGTTTAACTTGCATCAGCGATTCCGATTAGAACTCAGTTTTTCGCAAATGCACTGTGCAGTAAAGTGTCTAATGTAATTAAAAAGAGATATACATTATTCCGCTCTATTAAATTTTTTTAATTTTTTAAATTTCCCAAAATATTGCCAATTATATTAGAGACCGATTTTAGAGTAACTTTCCTAAACAGCACCAAAAATTGTCAAAAATTGGTGCATAAGACATCTTTAAGATGTTTTAAGAGGATCCTAAACGTCCTTTAGTTTCAGTCCTGTTTTATTGACAAAATGTGAGATTAAAGAAACTATAAATCTATTTATTAGCTATACGGATTGTTTTTTTACCTGAAATTAAAGCGCTTTGCAATTTGTTAATATTAATACTTTAATGTATACAGGAAAAAAATTTATCAATCTGTATAATTTTATATGTCTAGATTGCAGAATTCTTGAATTTTGAGAATTTTAGGTAAAAAACAATCCGTATAGCCACCGACGAGGTATTATTAATAAATTTATAGTTTATCTAATCTTACATTTTGTCGATAAAACAGAACTGAAACTCATAAGGACGTTTAGGATACCTTTAAGATCTTTGGGATATTATATCATAAGATTTCTTCACGTTAATTATTCAAATAAATTCTTACAAAGGATCAAATAATGTATTTAAATTATAATAATAATGAAAACTTACTGAGACGAGATTATCTATAAATTTGAGACTCTTCTTGATGGAGGTCTCAGCCAAATCTTTGCATTTGTTTGCGGCTTTATATGCTGTGTCACTGTGCTGACTTATGCCACAAAAATTGGTATCGTAGCAATGTTGCGCATCCTTATTCTTTGCCTTAGCAGCATTCACTTCTCTCTAAAAATGTATAAATCATTATAGCAATAGAATAATATACGTTTTAATATATTATTGAAATAATCGAACATATTATGTACATTATGTTTTATTGAATACAATTATCAAAATAACAAGTATCGAATGTTATAAAAAATATATACAATCTTAACAATATTAACAAATTATTCAATAGATTTATAGAATTCTCGATATAAACTTGAACTCCGTTTTGACTTATAAAGACGAAATAATTATGGTAATATATAATGCTATTTTGTTTAAAATAACAATAATTTTTTAATAAATAATAATCCTTAAGGTTGCCAGTAATAATTAATAAAAAACCACTCCTCAATGTTTAAAGTCGACCAGACTGGCAATAATTTATTATAAATAATTATTTGAAATACAACAACGTTTCGGCTGTCATTGCAGCCCTTTTCAAGTACATCAAATTTAAAACAGTAAATCAACTTCTATGCAAACTACCGACAATGTTAACGCTTGTTTTGATGAACAATGTAAGACTGACAGAAGTAAGCACATATTAAATAGATGTTAACTGTTCACAAGAATCTTAGTCACACAGAGTGACTAAGATTCTTGTGAACAGTTAACATCTATTTAATATGTGCTTACTTCTGTCAGTCTTACATTGTTCATCAAAACAAGCGTTAACATTGTCGGTAGTTTGCATAGAAGTTGATTTATTGTTTTAAATTTGATGTACTTGAAAAGGGCTGCAATGACAGCCGAAACGTTGTTGTATTTCAAATAATTATTTATAATAAATTATTGCCAGTCTGGTCGACTTTAAACATTGAGGAGTGGTTTTTAATAATTTTTTAATATTTTCTCTCTTTTTCCTTATATTTATATAATATATTTATATTACTTATATTTTGGCAAAACAGTATTATTTTTAACATTTTTAATATATAAGATAATATTTTATTATATTGGAATATATTATAATATTGTTACATTGTTAAATTATTTAATGTTCTATATAAGATATCTTGTGTTATATCTATAGCGTTAAAGGTTAAAGCTATTTGTTATAGTCATAATTTTATATAAATAGTAATAAAATATGACATTATAATAGTTCTAGTATTTGCCTCTTATCATTGTTTTATCAATTTAATGTTCTCTTTATTATCGATACAACATCAAAATATTATTGCGTCAATTTACTTTTAGTACGAATTATTACTCACGCGCATCGAAGCGAGCAATAAATTGACATAGTCTCCATATCTGTCCATTTGCTCCCACCATCTTTCCGTGACTGTGTTGAGAGTATCTTCTTCCGTCTCTACACGAACATGTTTGGTTTGCTGTATAACACTCTCCACCTTTCTTATCGTTTGTTTCACTTCGAGCTTTATAATTTCCAAATCCTTCGATATTAGATCAGTCTAGAGAATTAAAGGATAAACATTATATTAATCAATATACAGTATTATTTTGAGCCAGCACAATTCTTGCAATTCTCTGATCAATTGTTAGAAGTTAAATGTTAAATTAATTTTAAGTTAGTCGACGGAAAACAATATAAAAATGGAATTTATATTTTAATGAGAGAATAAATTTAAAATAATTTTTTTCTTTAACACATACATTCTAATCGATCGATATTAAAAATGATTAATCAAACACTTACTTGAAAATTTTCTTGACCATCTTTTGCCACGGTGTAATTGATTTCGGATATTAAATGTTGATCGGTAGGCTTTGAATTAATATCCTATGAAAAAAAATTATACGAAGAAATAGTTGTATTTATTATAAATCATTTTACATACAAACAGAAAAACTTACGGTAAAAAATACGGCGAAAAGACATAATCTTATATAGATTTTCATACTTGCTCACCAGTGGAAGTCTGTTAACACGAGAAATCGACCACTAATTGTGATAAGTATTACATCAATTGCGCCTTTTTATAAAGGATGATAAAAAACATTTTGACAAGCTTCGAGAGATAATAGAGAGAGATCAAGATAAGCAATTAGATATATATTACTTAACAACCTATATATTCGTAATAGTCTGATTTGGGAGATATCAAACCAAAAGTGTAACAAATATTTCATTATATATATATATATATATATATATATATATAATTAAATATTTGTTCAAATGTGTGGATAGCTTGAGCTTGCTTTCAGCGATTAATATACTATAATAGCCTTTATTCAACTTTCCAAGTATTTTTATTTGAGTATTATGTAATATTAAACAGATAAAATATGTTTCTTTTTAAGGGAATCCCTCAGCGAACAAATAGTCGTAGTTCATCCCTCATTTTAAAATTAACAATATTGGTAATTTTACCGACTAATTTTCGAAGAATAATTACTGATATTTTGAATTTCACATTATAAATCATCTAGATCAAACATGTATTAGAAATCTATATATACATAACACACTTTTTGTTACGTTTAATACTATTATAGATTTGAACGTATATAAATATGTATATGTATTGCTGTTTTTTGCTCTATTATACCTACAACGCACATACGTATGAATAGTAATAATGCAAACTATACTTTTATATTACACTTCTAATTTAGATTTAAAAGATAACAATCTTTTTTTATGTATCTTAATCTCAGGTATCTTTTTGTTTATATTCATATATATGTATATTTTTATGCACATAATATGATGAATTGACAGCACATCTGTCCTTCATAACGTCATATCAAGATAAAAGTTGATAAGAAAAACTGTAATTTTGTAATTATTTCTCGTTTTTCATATAAAATCAAACTTTTTGGGATTATTAATGTATGTATTACAATCGTAGAGAAGCATTTTTAATTCTATCAAATTAAAGCGACAAAAGATTAGAAGTATGAATAATAAAAGCAAAAATTTGTCATAAATATATTCGTCATAAATTGTTTGTCAAAATATTTTTCTATCTCCCTGAATATATAACACATCTCAATAAACTGTACTGATAAGTGCGAGCTTTATCACTTGTATAAATTATGAAAATAAATCATAAATTATTAATCAGATTAGATATAATTGAACATTTCACAAAAGAGATAGCGCATATACATTAAAATATCCATTTCTACATATATATAAAGATAAAATGCATAATTCAATTTCACAATTTTATGCGTAAAATGTTTAATAATGATTAATCTCAAATAATATAAAAAAAAGGGAGATATATATATAGAGAGAGAGAGAGGAAAATTATATTGATAAATAATTTAAATTTTTTACAATTATTTTTATTTCTCTTTTAGAACCAATTGCATAAAATTAATTTTCAAAAGTATATATATATATATATATATATATATATATATATATAGAGTCTCTCATTAGGTTAGGTTACATAGCCATAGTATAATTAACTAACGTAATTTGATGTTGAAATAATTATTTTTACTATCTGGATAGTTATATTAACCTTGTTTCAAAATAGAAAATATATACGTATAATATTACAATGTGTTTTTTTATACTAACAGTCTTAGAAATGTTTTCAAAAATAAAATTTTAAACAAAATAAATAATTGTTGAAGATACAAAATAATGGTGTTTTATAAATATTTTCACTCTTCTTCCGTCGTAGTAGGTTCTTCCGTCGTAGTTGATTCTTCCGTTGTGGTTGGTTCTTCCGTCGTAGTTATCTCGGCCTTTTCGACACACTCCGTAAAGTTCGTCTTAATCGAATCTCCCTTCGAATATACGGACGAGTAAGCCTTTTTCAAGCAGTTGGTGGCTTGTAGAACAACGTTGTTAGATACGTGCGCGACAGTGACCTCGGCGGAATTGGCGTCGCTCTGTAACGTCCTAATATCAACCTTTATTCTGGCCAAGTCGGTTATGACACAGCTTTGCATTCTGTTTATATCGTTATCAAAGCAGGTCAAGAAGATGCCGTCCAGATCTAAGGACAGCGCGTCTCCGGTCTGCGGAAGAAAAAAAGTTAACCTAATTAGGATTTTTTTATCTAGTATATGAAGCACATGATCAGGTGCAGGATGACAAACTAAATCGAAAAATCCTCAGCCATTTTTTAATCTGAGCTTTATTTTTGACGCTATAAACTGTTAAAGTTTGCCAAATTAGGCCACGCCTACTAGGCGGTGCTTACGCTGTAGTCACACGCTAATTGATAGACTTTAACAATTTATAGCGTCAAAAATAAGGCTCAGATCAAAAAATGGCTCGGGACTTTTAGATTTAATTTGTTGTCGTGCACCAGATGGTGTGCATTGTATATACTTTTGTTTAGTTACACCCTGTATATATGTTAATTAGTTGATATGAAAGATCGCGATTGATTATTGTAATGTGCAATAATAATAATAATAATTGTCAAAATAACATACCGAAACGAGATTGTCGATAAAACCAAGAGCGTTCTGAACCGCATTTTCAGCATTATTATTGCATTTGCTACCTTCCTCAAGTACTACATTGTCCATTTGTTCGATGGCATCAACAGCCTCCTCGTAGCACATTTTTACATCCTTGCCTATTGTTGTAGCGGCGTTCACATCTTTCTGAAGACAAATATAAATAAATGATATATATACATACAAACAAGTAAACTACTAAAACACATTTATGTATATTTTTCAAAGTTGAAGTTATTAATTTTTTTTAGATAATTGTTTTTAGTAGTAGATTCACTTTTTTGATAAACAATTATAAATTAAAATTCTAGGTAACAAACATACGTCATTTTGATGTCGAATGACATCAGTTTGCTATTTCGGGATCATTTAATATAAACGATAAAATTTTAGTACATTATTTTTAATATAAAAGCATTTTGTGATGCAATCTATTGTAATATAATATCACAATAATATTATTTCCTCAGATAGCAAGTACACATTTGTAATACCAAATGTCGTTTCTTAGATGTTAAATAATGCATGTATATTTATCATCTGAGATCGTCGATTAAATTTCTTTCCACAAATTGATATTACTAGGCATAATTTATTTTGTCTTTTGTATTTTTTCCACATTTTTTTATAAAAATATTCAAGTACACACAAAATTATGCTAATAAATTTATTTCTTTATCAAAGATTTTGATTTATCCTTGATTTATTAGATTAATAAATAATTATGATAAAATTAACTTGTATTGTTCAATTGTAAATCAATTCAAATGATTACCTTAATTCCATCGACTAATAGAGTTTTGTATGATCTATAACTCTTTCGTTCTCCCTCCCACTTTTCCGAGACTTTTTCGATGGTGTCTTCTTTGGCCTCACTACAAAGAATTTGAAGTTGGCGTATGATATCATCTACGTTCCTTTTTGCTTGTCTAACTTCAAGTCTCAAACGTTCCAAATCGTTTCCTAATATTGGAGTAGCATCGATCTGCGATCAAAAAATAAATGCAATAAATGCGATGAACAAGTGCATATTTTCATCATTTTTTCTAATTTTTAGAATTAATGTTGAAATCGATAAAATTATTACAAAATTTTAAATATTTAAAAGATAGAGAAAGAAAAAAGAGAGATGCCGATGATTTTCGTTTAACAAAGCGTTTTATCTTAACACATAAAAAAATAAAATCTAAAAATGTTACATTTTAATTTTTTTACAGGAAACTTACAGTCCAAAATGCACCTAAAAGGCACAATACTGCGAATGTGGATTTCATGATTGTTTATTGATGATGTGGATGTCGCTTTTGATTTCACCAAAACCTCGGCCGACTGACAAGTAATATTAATTACGCCGTTTTATATATACAATGTCTTTTAATCAAATACCTATAATGATTATTTTGATAACGATCATTAAGATAACGAATACAGAATTTATCTCCATATTTACGTAATAACCGTTTTATCTCTTTTTATCGAGATTTCATATCAATGGCAGCCACATAATTTATTTATTTTTATTCTACGTAGGATATGAGAATTTCGCGAAAGTATCTATTGATGACCTATATAATTTCTAGATTAAACAAATGCGACTGTTTGTTCTTATGACAAAATAACAACAAATAAATGATTATTCCACTTAAGCTAACACAAAATAAGTCAAATATCAAGAAAGAGACAGATATATATCACACACATACACACACAAATTTCACAAATATATTCCTACTTCACAAAAACTTATTATATATAACGTCGGTTCTTATTTTTGCTAACAAAGAGAGAGAGAGAGAGAGAGAGAGAGAGAGAAAGAAAGAAGAAAGAAAGGAAGAAATAGGAATAATAAAAAAAGATGGAGAGAAAGAAAGAATTTACTTGATAAACGAGAAGAACGATATATATTAATTTAAGATCAAGTCTAAAATTTACCTGTAAAAAAAATGAATAAAATCGATCAATCTTATTTGTATTTTTTGAATCTGCTGACTTATCTGAATATGAAGTTTAAAAATGGTTCAAAGTGCAGAGAGCTTTGTGAAAATGCAGTTGTTTAAAGAAAAACTTTATTTTGCAGCAACTATTATTTATGCAGAACTAGCAACTATTGTTTAAGAATAAAGAAATCGTATTTGTGAACAAATAATTAAGTCTTCTTCAAAATTCAACAAAAAATTTTGTTTTGCAAGTACACAAAATATTAAAATATATTTCCACAGCGTAGAATTAAAAAACCAGATTAAAAAGTAGAAAACAATCTCTACCGAACTTTTGCTTCACACAAAAACAATTTATATCTGCTCAATGGCATCTAGCGGAATATAATGGCACTAAATGTAATATTATTAATAAAATTTATTGGGTAATCATGCAGCAAAAAAATAAAATAACAAACACGTAAAACGATCAGTTAAATATTCAATGATGATTTCGGTATATACTTATATTCAGATTAATATTATAAAAAAATTATAAAAATAGATAAAATATTACCAAAGTGCAGGCAAAGATCTTTGAACTTTAGACTCTTTATCTTCTTCGCTCAATCAGACTTTGAAATCTCTTCGCTTGCATTCGGATTGATCTTACGAAATATCACAAGACTTGTCTATCTACAATTAATAACAATGACTAAAAAGATAGAAAATAAAAAGAAACAAAAGGACCTCGCATTAAATATATATAGGATTTTGATGGAATTGGCTAATTTTTCATATGCTGTAGCTTATATATGTTTAATTGTAACAAAAATGTAATAGACTCAAAATTAATTAATAAACAGTTACTGATTTATAGCCAGTCAAATACGAAAAATGGGCTCTGCGAGTTGTTTAGTTTAGAGACTACAACATATGAAAAAATAGCCAATTCCACCAAAAACCAAAATCCTATGTATTTGATAGAGGATCTTTTATGAAAATCTCAAAAAAAATTGTTTACTTCAAAATATTTAAATAAACATAAAAAGATCAATGTACTTAGAAAAAGAAAAGTATAAAAAATGAACAAAGTACATTAAAAAACTAATATAATTAGTATGTTCTAATCTAATCTTCTAATTAATCGTCTAATAATAATAATAATAAGCTGCAGTACTAAAATATCTCACCTGGACTTTAACACTGTTTACTGTTTGATGACAAATGCACTATTAACGATATTATGTTGCTTCAGGCTTTCTAGAAGATATTAAAATTCTTCCAGAAAAGAATAGAACTCCATTCTTCATTTGACGTTATTTTGACGTCTAATGACGTCATTCGACATCAAAATAACGTCATTTTGATGTTTAATGACGTCAGTTTGCTACATACGAGATTCAATATACTAACTTGTGCTTTTTTAGTCATTTTATTTTTTTTTATTTCTGAAAACTTAATTATAACATATGTTATTACAACATAATTTATTAATATAAATAATATTTTTTTTTAATTAATTATTGATATTTAATTTAATTTAAGCTTAATTCAACCTTTAATTAAATTAATTTTTGGTTTATGCAACTTTTAATGTGAATTAATTTTAATATTAAAAAATTAAATATTTAACTTACAATTAGTTTAAAAAAATAATTAACTAACCCAATACTGATTTCATCTTTGTAAAGAATTAAAGCTATACTATTACTAATTAACTATTTCAATTATTTATTAAGTTGTTTTATATAAAATATCCGATTTTGCAACGTAAACTCTTTAATAAGTAATATATTTTTTTATCAATAAAAATCTTTATATTTGTATGTTTTTTTATATTATTTTACAAAATTGTATATTTTATATGAAATATCCTAATAATTTAATTAATTAATTAAATTAAACTTTAATGCTTTCTTTCGTCTTTTTGATGCAATCTGATGTAAAAAGATCCGTCTTATTTAAAAGAAACTATCTTTCAAAACACCAATTATTGCTATGTTTCAGTCTGACAATGTTATTTGCTTTTTAAATCTTAAAATAAAAAATTCCTTAATTTATAAAATTAAATATAATATAATTGATTTAAAATAAGAACAATATATTAAATTTGACCCCCCAAACTACAATATATAACCAAGAAAAATTTTTTATTTTATTTCCACAACGTTTCGACCATCCGTTTTTGGTCCTTTACAAGTGAGAAACTAGAATGATACAATTAATTAAGATTAATAAAGATAAACATTTTGATGTTAAACGCAAGAATTAAATTTTACATACTTTCTTAATAAAAGCGCAGTTAGTTGACACTGTTGTCATTATTAAACAAAGTGATTGAATCTGAATTTTTAAAACATTTGAAAAAACTTTTGAAAGAAAGTAAGCGCATCTTATCGTTATGATGGATCGTCAAAAACTGTTGTGAGCATATAGAATTTATACGACCTTTATAATTTTGTCATATATGTTGTTTAAATTCTCTGTGTCTTTATGTAGGTTAACTGTATTATTAACTTTTTTGATAAAAAACATCTCTGCGATTTCTTTCTTTCTAACATGTTTTTTATATGTAATATAACGGGTGATACCCAATCAAATTCATGTCCCAACTCTTGTCTATGTTTGCTTATGACCAAATAATTTGTTACATGTAATTTTATATTGTTAAAATGTTCTTTCATACGAGTACGCAAATGTCTTTTTGTTTGTCCGGTATATGAGGAATCACAATTTTTACAGTCAATTTTATACACAACATTAGTTCTATCGTCGTTAGGTAATCTATCTTTGCCTCATTTTATTAATATGTCCAATTTTTTGGCTGTTTTATAGACTACACTAAAGCCGGCATTTTTTAAAGAACGACCGATATTTTCGTTCACATTTTTGACATACGGCAATGAAATATAAGGAGACTTGTTTTCTCGCACTTCATAAAAGTCTCATTTGTAACATTATTACTATTATTATTTTTTAGATAATTAATTCTTTTACTTATATGTCGCTTAATAATATGTGTTGGAAAGCAGTTGTTCATTAAAGTCTGCTGTACTATATTAATATTCTTGTTATAAAATTTATCATCTGATAGTAAAATGGCATAGTCTATGAGATTGTAAATGGTGTTGATTTTGTATTTTAACGGATAATTGGAGTAAAAGTTTATATATCTTCCGGACCAGGTGGGTTTCCTGTACCAATTTGTAATAAGCTTTTTATCATTGCGAATGACGCTAGTGTTCAAGAAATTAATTATAGAATTATTTTCTGTTTCGTATGTATAAATTTCAACCTTTGATGAATTGTTAAAGATTGATAACATTTTGTCCATTTTTTACGTGGCAAAATTGCAAAGACGTCATCTACATATCTATAATATACAGGTACATCAAAGTTTAATAAACTCAAACATTGTGTCTTAAGTCGTCCATTACAATGTCCGCCAAAATTGGTGATAACATGGAACCCATAAGACTACCAAATATTTGCTCATAGAATTGTCCGTTAAAGCTAAAACTGGTCGAATCCAAAATCATTTCAATTGCGTATATAAACTGAGATAAATTAAATTTCGTGTTTTTCTCTATGTCGCTCCAGCGTTTCTTGATGCCGTCTATAACTAATTCCTTGGGAATATTTGTAAATAAGGAACTAACATCCAAAAGAGATCATTACATCGTCATCATTAATAGGCATATCTTTAATGTTTTTTGCAAAAGACCACCCATCTTTAATGAGACTTATAAAGTGCGAGAAAACAAGTCTCCTTATATCTTATTGCCGTATGTCAAAAATGTGAGCGAGAATATCGGTCGTTCTTTAAAAAATGCCGGCTTTAGTGTAGTCTATAAAACAGCCAAAAAATTGGACATATTAATAAAACGAGGCAAAGATAGATTATCTAACAACGATAGAACTAATGTTGTGTATAAAATTGACTGTAAAAATTGTGATTTCTCATATATCGGTCAAACAAAAAGACATTTGCGTACTCGTATGAAAGAACATTTTAACAATATAAAATTACATGTAACAAATCATTTGGTCATAAGCAAACATAGACAAGAGTTGGGACATGAATTTGATTGGGTATCACCCGTTATATTACATATAAAAAACATGTTAGAAAGAAAGAAATCGCAGAGATGTTTTTTATCAAAAAAGTTAATAATACAGTTAACCTACATAAAGACACAGAGAATTTAAACAACATATATGACAAAATTATAAAGGTCGTATAAATTCTATATGCTCACAACAGTTTTTGACGATCCATCATAACGATAAGATGCGATTACTTTCTTTCAAAAGTTTTTTCAAATGTTTTAAAAATTCAGATTCAATCACTTTGTTTAATAATGACAACAGTGTCAACTAACTGCGCTTTTATTAAGAAAGTATGTAAAATTTAATTCTTGCGTTTAACATCAAAATGTTTATCTTTATTAATCTTAATTAATTGTATCATTCTAGTTTCTCACTTGAAAAGGACCAAAAACAGATGGTCAAAACGTTGTAGAAATAAAATAAAAAATTTTTCTTTGCTAGTTTGGGTCGAATTTAATATATCGTTCCTATTTTAAATATCACTAGCGACGTTTTAAGTATTCAATTTGATAATTAATTTAATTAATCAATTAATTAAATTAACAAATAAACATATTCTTTTTTCATTTCTTAAATCTTATAATCTTCTTTGAATGCCCCTAATACTTTGGTC